AGGGCTTTGCTACCTTGAACAGAAGGGAAAAAAAACAGGCTTTTGTGAAGCTGGTTTCAAGTGGAGTGGGGGTTCAGCTGGTTTGGTACTGGCTGGTTTGGTCTGCCACCCAGTTTTGTTTTCTCTGTTGGGAAGAGAAACTGTTTTATTCATGTCAGCAATCAATCTAATGTCTTTAAGCCTAGGCTGCACCAAATGAGTATCTCTTTGGTTGTTTCCTCGAGCACTTTCATCCATTGAATTGATTTGCTTGTCTCTTTTCCCCCTTTATCAAACCATGAATGTCCTGTGGACAACTTGAGCATGTAGAATACTCATTTTAGAAAGATTGCTCGGGGTTCCTTCATTCTCTGGGGTGCAGAACAAGGGTAGGCACATCCAGCAGCTGGTTAGTTGAGGGCCATTACAATCACAGGACTGTAATGCAATTGCAAAAAGCAATGCGGCTGTCTGGTGAGTGTGTGCTGACGTGGAACATCATTAATTTGGATACTCCTCAACTCCTCAGGCATCTTAGAATCATAGAATGCTGAGTTGGAAGGGACGTTTAAAGGTTGTCTAGAAATCCTGTTTAGTCCATCTAATACACCTGGAGGTTTGGAGATTTTTCTACTGACTACCAAAGTCAGGATGTGCACTTCAGACCTTGTTGTGCATGAAGGGGTGAATGGAGGAGTAGGCAGAGTGAGCAGCTGAGAGAAACATTCACAGCAGCATCGGCCAGAGCAGAGGGCTGTGGGAGAAATCTTCACCAAATCTTCAACATTTTCTTCATTGACAAAACTAGACTCAAAGACAGTTCCACTCTGCAGGCTGTCTTTGAGAGCAGGTTGGTAAGGGTGTCCATTTAGGAGCTAGAAAAAGCCTAATTCTGAAAAATGATTCAGAGGAAGGCTGTTCATGTTCGACAGGTTCTTTCATTTTTATTTTTTTTTAACATTCAAGCTACAATAGAAGTAACACTGGAGCTTTAGTTATTTTTGTTTCCCATGACGATCAGTCATTCTGAGATCACGAGAGCATGTTGATTTTCTCAATCACTGAAGCAAATGTTGTGACTCTGCATTTTATTTAATTGGGGCATCTGCTGTGGCACATTTGCAGCATTCAGCATTTGGCTGACAGCACCTGTCTGTGTGTTCCTGCCGTGCTGCCTTCCATCACAGTCACTTTCTCTGCACTGCCGCTCACTCAGCAGCATACTGTCAGACTTGGCATCCACGTTCTGAGCCATTCAGAGGGGTACAGGCTGGCTGGGTCTCCTCTGCTTGCTCTTCCCTTGGAGAAAAGCAGCATTACCCCTTCTCACCCTGTCCTGGAAGAGAGCATGCAGCCCTTTTGCAAAGCAGGTTTTCTTTACTTCGTAATTATACTTTGATTTTTGAAAAGTAAAGCACCTTATTTTACTAATTTAATAGTGGCTGAGCAGTATTTGACACTTCTCTATTGTTTTGTCTTTGCATTTAATTATTTCTTTAGATTTGAAAAGCTGTTGATTATTCAGGATTTGATTCACTTTGAAACACGATGCTCTTCAGCCATGAGCCCCACAAACCAGGCTACAGGCTGTTCAAAATGAGAGACCGTGCTCATAAATGCCTGCAAGTATTCAAGCTGAACTTCCCTTCCAAAGCACAATTCTTTGGGCTCTTCTCATCTCTCTGTTCTCTGTGTACCAAATCCCTGATCCATATCTCTGTTCTGAGTGCCGATACTCTTTAGGTGTGGGATTTTCCCTGCCCGGCCCCCTCCCTGGCTGTGCACTTGGTTCTCCTTCCCAAGGCCCCAGATCCCACGCTGATGGCTCTGCTGATTGCACGGGGCTGGCTCAGCTTCACCTTTCATCCACAGCCACACTCAGTTCTCCTGCTCACCCAAACAACCGTTTCCTTCCTTCTTTATATTGTTCTCATCAAGACCTGCCTTTCCTCTGGGGTAGGAAGTTCCTATATCCTCTTTAAAAAGCATCATTTTTTTTCACCCCCCCCAGTCCAGCTGACTTCCTCCCCACCTCCCACAGCCCCTATCTTGGCTCTGAACTTTGTCCATCCCTGTTCTGCCTCTCCCCTCCTCGTGTTCCCAAGCAGTAGGTGGAGGGACAATGTGCCAAAGAGAAGCTATGAAAACCCCTGAGAAAAAAGGGCAGAAGGAACCCAGTGAAAGAAGTAATATCACAAGCAAGTGATGAGTGCCTTTCACCAGTGTTATTAATGATCTTGTTGGACTGCTAAGATAAAAGCTCTGTGTCTGTAGGCTGTGTATCTGCCAGCATGGTTTCTCTAAAGCAGAAACAGCAAACAGATATCATTTCTGTGCTGAACTGGAAGCAGCATAGAAGGGCAAAGAAGTGTTTCCCTGCCAGGTTTCTTCTGAACTTGATTACTTTTCAGCTACTTCCCCACAGTCTACTTCATTAAGAACTGGAAGTGGACCCAGGGTGTTCTTCCAACAAGAATCTCCACTTCCAGGGTGTACCTGCAATCACCCTACAGCTGATTTTGCACTAAGCAGACAGAGCAGGTTGTTCAGATGTCCACAAACCATTGTAGTGAGCTGTAGCTTCAAATGAGGGCTATAGGGTTGCATTACTTGGGGATGGGAAGGGCTGTCGTGTATGAGACAACATACAGTGAATGTAGTTGAAAACTGACAAACTGGAGTCAAATAAGATGAAAATCAAATTTCTAGAAGTGCAGAAATGGGTGATTTGGAAATCAAGTCTTAGTTTCCAAGGTAAATTCCTGTGTTCTGATACTCATTTCCTTGATATATATTTGTATAATGGTGGCATAACCAAGTAAATCACCAAACTATGCTGTTGTATTAAAAGTGCAAAAGGGGAAAAAAAATAAATAAAAGAATCTCTCACTGATTAGAGGAGCTATTTGCTACGTAGTGACGTTTGGAAGTTTGACAAACCTGGGAAAAGCCACATCACATTCAATCTTTAGTTTCAGCAGTCACTTGCATCGTCTAGAAAGAAGTAGAGAAAGTCTTCTTTTTTGTTCTCCTACTAGGTTTAAAAAAAGAAAACCTATGCCTGGAATTAGTCCTGGGCTTCATACAGACTTGTTTGGGATATTAGCTGATTCACAGTGAATTACAATATTTATTTACTCAAGGTAAGTGAATAGGCAGCTAGAAGTGGAAAATGGAAATGAAGAAGAGAAACAGGCTAAAAAGAAGTAAAAATAAAAAGGTGAGAAAGGTAAAGAGAGACTCTATGCAGGACAACAATTTGTTTTACTTAGAAACATTACAATTTAGTTTCGTGATACAGGAATATATATATATATTTACTTATGTATTGAATTTTTAAAGGACAACATTTAGCCAAGGACTGTGTTCATCTGGAGGCAAGAAAAAGCTGTGCAGGGTGAGATCTGGGTGAGCTTGCTCCCTGAAGGCAGGCTGTCTTGTTCAGTGATCTGCAGCCCAGCAGTCCTTGCAGAACAAGACATACATCAAAGCTGTGGAGGTGCTTTGGTGTAGCACGTACCATCTGGGAGAGACAGCATCCATCATATCATCACAGGCATGCAGTCACATAATCATAGTCAGGATGTCAAAATCAGACACCAGCCCAAGCTCAAAACGGAGACTCTTATGTTGTCTTTACTTTGCTCCACCCATTTTAAAAGGTAGAGTATTACTTGCAACCCTGTCTGAATTACAGCAGTGAGATGTGGACATCTCCCCAGACAGCAGAATTTCTTGTACATCCGTCCCTAAACAGCAAGTACCAACCAGATTAATATTACTTCACCATTTCACACACACACATCAGGTAAAAACTCACTCACTGGAGCTTCTGATGGAAACAGAATACTTCCTAATATACGTAAGACATTCAGGCATTAAAGAAACACATAGTAGCATAGGTATTTGTTGGGTCTTCCATAGGAAAAGTTATAAAACTTTTAGTGCTTCTCAAGAATTGCTGTTTTCTAGACCTCCTGGGGATCAAACTTCACTTTACTAAAAACTCTGGGACTTTTTCTGAGTCCTGTCCTGCAAGAGTGTGAGTCCAGGAGGGCCTGGCACATCTCTTGGGGTTTGAACTTGTAAGCAAAGGTGCAACATGATCCCAGAATGTAGATTCACTCTGCCCTTGCTGCCATCTGCTCAGATGTGAGCCATCTCCAACCCAGGAGTGACTTCACTGTGCTGCTGGCCAAGCCTCAGAAACCCAAGTGCCCTAGAGCAAGTTTTGGATCCAAGCTGACTCTCTTCAGGGCTGCTTTTGGGAATGGATGTGGTGGCATCATCTATTGCACTATGGAGGTTTATCTCCTATTTAAGTCCTTGTTAACAACGTATCAGGGAGGAGATTAAACATTGTTGAATTGCTGTCTGTACCACTATGATTTACTACTTAAGAGCTGCCCACCCAGATGAAAGTGTAGCTGATGAGATTGCCAAGAAATCACTGCTATTGTGTGTACAGCCAAAAAACTTCATGAGATCTCCTCTTAAAAAAAAAAAAAAAAAAAAAAAGCAAAATAGGAAAAAAAAATCCTTTTAAGTTACTTTCATAAGTTTCTCTTATTATTACTTTTTTTTTTGTTTTAAATTTTTTTTTTAATTATGTCTTTCTCTCTAGCCAGCAAAAATATCTGGAGTTTTTCCCAGTTTAGAGGCCCAAATGCTCCTCTCTGGGCCTCTAAAAGAAACCCAAAGGTTAAGAAAACTTCATCTGATCATGTAAGAGAATGGAAAGAACTTTCTTAAAGTTGATAATCCATATTACTGAACTGATTTCCAAAATCAATTGACTCTTATTCTCAGGCTTTTTGGCTGCTGATGGGGCTGCCTAACACACAAGCTCCTGATCTAGCTGGAGGGAAGGAAAGGCAAACCGTAGGTTGCAGGGTTGTTATACGTGCAGCAGATCCAAGCCAGCACTTGGGAAGATATCTACATTTTTCTTTAAACAATGCTTTTCAAAAGAACCTTATTTACTAAGCTTTATTCTTAAAATATCATATTCCTGGATTATATCTTCTCCATATTGATGATCCATGCTCAGGAATCTGAATAGGGATTTTCATAAGACTTTGAAGGAATTAGATGCTCAGATCCCATCAAAATTAATGGGATCAGGCACCTTAGTCCCATCCATGCCTTAAAAAATTCCAGTCCTAAGACACCAGTGACACCATATTTGCTTTGTGTGCTGGCAGGCCAGCAAAAGATCAGAACAATGGATGGCAAGTCTTCAAGAAATTGGAGCACTAGCTTCAGAAAAGCCTTGTTAGAAATAAAATGTTCAAGTTTAGGCCAAATAGTGCAGGGAACACCAGCATCCCTTTGCAAACTTGACCAAGGAGTTTCCAGATAATGATGTATTTTTCTGAAGTTCTAGGTTGGAAGGGTCCTTAAAGCTCTTCTAGTTCAAAACCTGCTCTGCCATGGGCACGGACAGCTTCCACTAGATGAGATTTATGTCTACTGTACTTCAGGCAAACATCACCGTAACATTCCATTTAAATGTTTCTCTTTAGAGACAACTTTGCAGCCAGAATATAATAAAGAGGTTTGAAAAGGAGGGAACAATCCATCTCAGGAGTATCTTGTGAGACTGAGCAGCATCTTACATGCAACAGTGAAACTGGGAAAATATGAGCCCATCAGGGATAAAGACTTTTAAATCTTGTTGGCAGTCGAGACTTGTGGGGTATTTGTTCCAGTGATGAAGGAAAGACATACAACAAGTTCTACAGAGTGAAAGATTTTCCAGCAGCATGACTGGGCTATCATCTGTGGGAGCTCTTCTAACATGAAACTTGTCTTTTTTGCTGCCTTGCTAGGAACCAGAGTTGCTTTTGTACTTTGGAGTAGGTTGGCAGCACTCGAGTGTTCATGATCTCAGCCTAGGTGTGGGAGACACTTCAGCAAGGAAAGTGGAGGCTTAAGTGTCGAGAGCATCTCCTTCTAGATAAACAGTGCTTCTTCACGGCATGTGCTGAGACAGTCTGTAGGCATATCTCATCATCACTAGGTTGCTATAGTCTTCTCTTTCCCTTTCTGCAGTAATTATTTCAACAAAATGCTGAAACACTGTAGAAGACTTGAAAACAGATACTGAAAGCAACAGAAGGCACTCATGACATAGAACCCAGCTGGAAACTTGTGGTGTGCACATGCTGGAGGTGCTGCGCTGGGGAAAAGGGAAAGAGCTGCACATATGCTCCATTAAGCCTGCCAATTCTTAGGGCTGCTTTTCTCAAAAACTGCGTGACTTTTACTTTCTGAGGCCTTGAGAGTGCTGGTGACTCCAGGAGAAATGTAGGGGAGAGACTGAGATGCAAAGAAAACTCTTCATCTCTCATGTGTGTGAGAAGGAGGAGAAAGGAGAGTCATCTTGCTATGTAGAAAGTCGTATTTATATACATTTACATTTGTATCTTTAAATACTCAAGATTGTAGAACCTCCAGAGGAGAGAAAGAGAGATGAGGTTTATGAAGCCTGTCTGCTTCCACAGGAATGCCAGAGTCCCAAAGAGGAGGCCATCATGTCTGGAGAACACATAATAATGTCCAGGATTCACTTCTTATCTTCCTCTTAAACTTCTGGCCCTTGATATAAGAATTGTAACGACTTTATTGGAACACTCTGTGTCTCAAAGCTTGTGATAATATAAAAGCCATCCCATGGCTGATTTCTTCTTACAGAAACACTGTTCAGAAGGATGGAAAGAGATGTTTACACCAACAGATATCCTTGGTTTATAACATGTTGAGTGATTGCAAAACTTAGGGCTGAATTCCCAAATCCATTTAAGTTCTCAAGTGATCATAATATAGTTAACATATCCTTTACAGAAAACATGCACAAAAATAAGGAAATGAATGCTTAAACACATAATAAATCTTTCACTCTCCACAGAATAAGTGCACTATTCTTATCAGGTATAAACCATGGCCTATTTCTTCATAATCATAGTCATAAATCTGGCTCAGTTATTGTATATATTTTACTATCTGTATTTACTTTCGAAGAATACTGCTGTAAATTTCCTAAAGATAAAGGGATTCACTTTTTTTCATAGGTATTTACAAGTTACCAGTTCTGGTCAATAATAGCAGGAGTTCTGTTGAAAAGGAAGCTACTTGATGGCAGTTTCTCTTAAAATTCTGTACGCACCTTTAGTTAGCATTTAATAAGTGGGATTAGAAATGCAATATTTCTATTGCTTTTAAAGCCCCTTATGTAGTGAAGAAAGAACATAAAATGTTTTGGGGTACCGCTGAAACAGGACGTGTTATATAGAAGTGTTGTGTTACACAGAAATATACCTTTTGTTAAACTGTCAGTGTGCAGGCTGCATAGGATCTGGGACATGCATCACTGTTTGCTACAATGCTTTCAGGAGTGCGGTAGTTGTTTACGCAGAGGCATCTTTCTGCCTGAAATGTATATGAAGTCCATTTGGCTGCAGTGTGAGCAGAATGCCCCGTGGAAAAGCTGGGCTGTTGGGCTGTCTGTGCTTATTTTGCAATGGGTTTTGACTCTGTTAGCCAAAGTAATTTGTTGATGCCCCTCTAAAATTTGATGAACTAACAATAACAAGGCCTTTCTTGAAGGGTGTTTCAATCAGTGATATTTTTTGAAATGTTTTGTGTTTACAAGTGGAGTTGCTTGAACAGATATTGACCCTGGTATTACTGAGAATGATGTTTGCTGAGCTACTAGTGAGAGCACTGAGGGTGGTGACAAAGCCCTTTATACTGGTGCTTCTAAGATAGAAGTGTCCTTATCATGCAGAAGTTATGTGCAATGGGAAAAATAATGGAGGAAACCAGCTATGACTAGTAATTTTTAAGCAATTGGTTTTACTTAGCTCCTGCTCCTAATGGTAATCATTTGCACAATTGCTTCAAATCTCTTACAGAGCATTTGGATTTGTGTTCACTCTGAAAAAAAAGACAGAAGCCATGTTTCCAACAGGACCATCTGCTTTGCTGTGGATGTTTAAAGTCTACATGGATGCAAAAGCAAATGAAGACATTCTCTGAAGAAAATTCTGTACAGGAACATTAAATACAAAGATACCACAGCTGTCCATGTGGTGTCCCTGCAGCTCCTGTAAGCTGGTGCAGCAGATAAGAGTGCACCACTGTGTTTTTGCTCTGCTCTTACATCACACTCCACAGAATGTCATTGGGATGCCAGTGAGACCAGGTGCTTTTTGATCAGGTCCAGAATAATGCTGCAACGTTCTTGAGACTAGAAATCACACTTTTGATTTAAGGTGCATCTCAGTGTTATTGATGTTTTTGAATTTTGTTTTGTCTTTTACCTTTGATATGTGGCTTATTTATTTATTTTTGAGATAGCTTAGCTCTGATAACATCAGAAAAATTATGGGCAGGAAAGGGATGCATTTGGAAAGTTACAGTGCCATCTATAGAAGGAGCACCAACCTGCAATCTCAGGCCTCACTGCCTTCAACAACCTTATTTTGTACCTTCAACAATCATCAGCTGTTTTAACCGTCAGCTGCAACTAAATAGCACATAAATCCAACAGAAAACTGAGCACTGTACTGCACTCTTAGGCATGTCTCCAGTCCTCACCTACATGTTTGTTTTCCTTCCTCATTCTCACTCACCTTATTTTTTCTGCCAGCATTGTCCTGGTTTGTGTTTGGTTTTGGTAGCAGACTTTCATCTCCTGGTAACCCAAAGCTGCCTGGTGGTCTCACTCACCCTGCCAAGGAGACAGATCACTGAGGGTGCTTGGATGGGGCTTTGTGTAACAGGGAAATTGGCTGTACATCAAGCCAAAGAGAAAAGTTGAGGTGCTGACTTCACAGTGAACAGTAAGGAACCAGGTGGAAGAGTCAGATTCAAGTCTGTATTCCAGCAGATATTTTATGGCTTACACACATTATTACTTGAATATATTTACATACAGAGAACATTCACAGGAAGAGAGAGAACCATTCACCACAAAGTGCCAAATGGTGCAGTAGTTGCACTAAGTAGCTAATGTGATGCACAGCCGCATGAATAAGGGAGAATAATGGTATGGTAATGGGAGTTAGCTAGGTTCCTTCTCTGTATAAAGTCTTCTTCATCAATTTGATTGACACAGGAGTTCAGCACGTGCTGTGGGACCCTGACATCTAAAGCCAGCACCACAGTTTACAGCATGGTCTAATCTTTATGGAATTAAAAAATGCAATTCAAGCTGAGGTCTTAAACCCACATGGACTTCTTTGGACAGAGGTCCTCATGCACAGCCAAGGGTTTTACAAGTGAGACGTGGAGTGGGAAAAGAGGATCTTAAGAAGGATCCTGTTCTGAAGAACAGTCCCCATGAGACTGCATCCAGCCACAATGCAGCATACGTAATGCTGTGTGACTGCTGCAAAGGCATGCAGAGCTGGGCTGCCTCTGTCTGCCTGCTGTGTCTCATCCCAAAGGCCTCTGGACCAGCAGGCTTAAAGATGCACTACAAGGAGTACACTTCAACCACCAGGCAGCAGTGAAACTTATCAGTGATTCAAGTACAAAATCTGCATGTTGGAGTGCTGTGCAGTTCTAAATACAAAGGCCAGTCCAGCTGTGAATAATTTTCAGATTAGACAGAGTTCTTAATGAACCACAAATGAGAAGTCTGTCCATCTGTACTGTGGGCAGTGGTTGCATAGCTGAATGCCATAAGTACAGATTTGTAAGGGCATTGCTGCACGTATTTTGCTTTGTGGTGGATTTCACTGATCATACCTCACTTGCAAATAAAATATGCACAAGCATTTATTTTGCTCTAGATAAGAATGAATATAAATAAATAAGCAAGTGGGGATTGGAAGCCCTTTCTAGCTCCACATTTCCCTTCCGAAACAGAAGTCAGCCTGAAAGCTTCAGCAAAAGCTTGTTTTGGAAATAAGCATTTTTGCAGACTGCTGACTGTGGAACTGCATTTACTAACGAGTTACAGTCACACAATGGTTTGCCTCTGCACTATCTGGGTCACAGGCCAGAATTCTCCTGAATGCTAACATTTTCATTTAAGCTGCACTTACCAGTGCACAGCAGAGATATTTTCCTTCCAAAAGCTGGTCCTGAACAGGAATGCTGTGTGTCACATCTGCTGTCACTGCTTATGGTTCACTGCGGAGTCAGGGATGAGGCCCTCTCCCCGTGAGCTCCAGTATGGTGGAGCACCAGCCCATAGTGTCACTTCCTACTCTGTAAGGTCACAGTTGGTGCCATAAGTGACTCCAGCAGACAACTAGCAAGGTACCAAGAGGGGTCAATTGCAAGTAGCCATAAAGAAGAGCTCAACCAAATTTAGCTAAATGTGGACACTCTGCATCCAACTTTAGGCACCTCACTGAAGAGCCTAATTTAAGTAAGGGTACATTAAGCTTTGCCTAAATTTAACACAGTTGGTGACCAATTGACTTTTTGCTCCTAACAAGCATATTCTTCTGAAAAGCAGCTCTATCTCAAGCATTTTAAAGAAATATCGTGCAAGATCTATTGACTATCTTCAGGTTTTAAGACTCGTATTTAGAACTAAAGGGTTTTAAAATTATTTAATAGATTGACCCATGCTGCATGTTGCACCTTTTACACACTGTGGATATGGTATAAAATCTCACTTAGGAAGAAATTATGGTGAGTCCTGCTGGGAGATTTGTTCAGGTCAGTGCAAAAAAACCTAAAGATGAACTGTGTGACTCGCTGCCACTCTCCTCTCTGGAGAGAGCCTATCCTTCACCTGTTGGTACCTTGTACCTGTTTGTCTGTACAAAGTTATTACACAGATATAACAAGCAGCATATCTTGGCCTGAATGCCAGAAAGAATAATAGTGGGATCTTGCCACAAACACAAAGAATAGCATGGGATTGGATAAACCATGCCCAACTTGTTATTGTTTCTTAAGGAGTTCTATAGAGCTTATTTCTTAAGAAGCTTTCCAGCAGCATTCTTATAAAAAAAAAAACAAAACCAAGGAGAGGGAAGTTGCTCTGTTGGTGGTCACTGCTGATGAGAAGTCTGAAAACCTTCTGTCTGAGAACAACAGCAGAGACAGCCCACACAGGTCTGAGCTCCCCTAATCCACACAAACGTTATCTATTATATTGCAGTCTGCAAATATGTTAAAAATGTATGCTTTATTTATACAAACTCATGTTTCTGCTGTAGCAAAAAAATATTTTGGAAAGCAGTTGGACTTGTGAATGCTTACACTTCAGACTGTAGTTACACTGTCGGGATTCACATTTTCTGCCTGGATATAATTTATAAACACTGGATTTAGTCAGGGAAAGTCTTCGTAGAGGTTAACTGTAATTTCCTGTTGTAAATGGAGTCTGATGAGTGAGGATATGAAATCTTGGAAAAGTTTAATCATTCTAAGGAAGGCTGTCCCACTTGATGGAGTAGAATTTGTACAGCTTTGCAAAGAATTGGCAGTTTGCTAATTCTCTGTCCGCTCCAGAGTGAAAAATCACAAGTGAGGGGCTTCTGCTTGAAAGCAAATGGATTTTTGCCCTCCTAGTAGGATGAGATCAGGCTCCAAATCTAAACAGATGTGGAAATATCATTACATTCCTGACCGAGGAATTTACATCTATTTGTACACAGCCTCAGCTCTGTGCCCAGGCCCAGCTGAAGCCACTGGAAGTCCTGGACTAGCCCTGAGCTGAGATGTTCTGTAAAATCAGAGCCCGAGTACTGTGTTGTGCTCCAGAAGCTGAACTCAGCTACTTTCTATCTGAGCAAAGAACACCTAGCTGCTCCCATGGGTGTCATGGAGCAAACTAACAAATTGATAACATGACATGCATATATATCAAGTGAACATCAGAAAAAAAATAATGTAATGGAGCTAACATCTCCATTTTTGGGGAAGGGTTATTCACCTCTATGTGATCACATCTCGCAAAGGAACTGTGTGACTGTGGACGCTCCTTTGAAATCTCCCAGATAAGTCTATGCGATAGTAAAAATAGCCCAATACTTCACATATTGTTAGCTGCTGGTGGGAGGAAGATCTCAAGCTTTGAAAACTCTGAGCTCTGGCTCACCTCAGTCGTGGCAGCCACAAGCTACAGACATCCAAACTGGAGCTGAGCAAGGGATTACACCAGCCACCTGAGTGACACATATCCCTGCAGCAGCTGTGGCATAGGGCGCTGTAGAAATGAAACAACTTTTGTTAAAAGCATTGACCAAGATTCCTGCTGCTGAAACAGCACTTTTTTGTTGCCCTTAAACATGGCACTTATCCACAGAGCAACTGCATGAAAATCTTCCTAAGCCCTCACAGCCTCATTTGGGACAGTAAAAATGATCGTACCAGAAAGAAGATCTTGCCACCCATTTGCATGATGTTTTGCAAGGAAGTTTGTTGTCATTGCTTCCTGTGACAGTTGCTCCTCAAAACACAGTAGAGATCACCTCATGGCTGATTTTCAGAACCTTGTTGTGATACAGATCACCGAAAAGCAAGTCACAAACTATGCCTCATATTTAAGGAAGATCACGTCCACCTATGTACATAGCACTAGGCTGCATCAAAAACCTCTGACCACTGTCTTCAGATGTAAGGAAAAATTATCCATCCATTATCTAGCCTCTTCCCTAGCTTTGTTCAATAAGAATTGATCCTGTCATTTATTGGCATCATTTGACCTTCAGTTCCATTGTGCTGTTAAAGGAGAAAGAATGGTGGTGAAGTTGGAGAAAACATCAAAGCAGCCCAATAGTGGTACTTTCCGATCAATCTTGTTCTTTCGTCAACACTTCTCCGTTGTGAAAAGCACCAAAATATGGACATCACTTCTTCACCCAAGTCTTCAGTTTGTCAGAAAACCAGAATACTTGAGCCAATCTTTTCTACAATACTTTGCAATTTTGATTTACAAAACTCCTCAGCTTCCCCACATACCTAACCTTTCTGTGGGATGGGAGGGGGGAAAGAAGGGAGAAAGTACTATTTCTTGAATTATGATGCAATAGAAATCTACCAAATACCTTGAGGGGAACTCAGGATTAAGTGTTAATACAGACCTCTTTTGCAGACAGACATGAGTTCACCTGACTGTTCTCAAAGCCAGTCAAGCTGTGGTTAGCCTAACAGTCAACTTTAGCTAATAAGCCATGCTAAAAGGTAGAATATATTAACTCAGGCCCATAGCCAAACTAGTGCAGATATAAAACTCTGCCTGAAAAACAAAACTTACATGGTTATAAAATGAGTTTTAATCCCAACTTTGCCATCAATTTCATGTACTACCTTAAGCAAATCACTGAATCTATGTCTCAGTTCCTTACTTGCACAGTGGGGATAGTAAAAACACATTAAGAGTGGAAGCTGTTCTGGTAAGATTTTGAACATGCATACTTATAAAGTCTTGAAAAGAAAACGCAGTTCAGTCTAATAACAGTGCCACAAATAATAATGCTTCTCAGTCTGACATTGAACAAATGTAAGCAATTGAAGTGTCTTTTTTTTTTTTTTTTTTAAAGTTGTATTGAGCTTAAAATGCTAACCCTACCAAAACACATTAGGCCAGCCTTGTCCCTCCAATGCCATGCTCTCCTCATTTTTTATATCCTGCTGCAGGCCTTGTAATATCTGCTAGCCACATCTGAAAAGCAAAAAACTATGTAAGAAATTTTCAAATCAGTTCTATATTCCTTGTTATCCACGCATTGGGCTTCATCTACTTTTCTGAGGCATAGCAACTTTTTAAGGAGCTGAGAAATGTCATTAAATCATCTTACAGCATTTGTGGTGCTAATGGAAGGATGACCTATGAGAAATGAGCAAGAATTGTCTCTTTTCCCATTTTGCCCACTAAGCATTCATTGACTTTCTCCTGCACCCCATTCCCAGTAGGGGTCCTGTATGCCCTCATAAATTGCAATGCTCAGAATATACCTCTGGAGATGATTTAATCCTACCCCTTGCTCAGAAGTATTGGCCATACTGGATCACATCAGCTGTGGCTTTCTCTAGCTAAGCTTTGCAAGCTTCCAAGGCTGGAGATGGGTTATCATTTCTCTGACTTTTTCCCAGTACTGAACCACTTCCCTTTAAACAAGTACGTATCTAGTGTCCAGATGCCCTAAATGGAACCTTCCAAGCTGCATTCTGTGGTTACTGCTATCAAAAAGCTAGCTTTATCATCCTTGTAAATGCCCTGGAAGTAGTTATACGGTACAATTAGATCCTCTCCTAGCCTCTTCTATGCCAGACTGAAAAAGTGCAGGCCATGCACTTTACATCTCCAGCACCCTTCTGCTGGATCCTCTCCAGATTCCTCCACATCCTCCTTGGACTGAGCACCCAGAACTAGACATCAGTTCAGGTGCAGCCTCACCAGTGCCAAGTAGTGATGGATAGCACCTCCTCTCCATCAGCCAGCCTCACTGCTCCCAGTAGAACTCCCAATGTAGTATGCAATTTGCCTTACTTATAATGAGAGCACACAACACATGGGCTTATATTCAATTTGGCACCTGCCATAACCTCAAGGGCCTGCATCTCAGCCTGTCCATACACAGAGTGGCTCCAGCCAGATGATGAGATCAACTCATTGCATTAAACTGTGGGGTTCTCTTCGCCTCATGCTCATTTGAGATCCCTTGGGTTTGAGGTATTTGGTGCATCAACCACTCCCAATAATTTAATATCACCCTATGCAATGCTTTAAAAATGAAAAAATGCGAGTGATATTTTAATTCCTTTGGTCACAAAGGAGTTTAAATGCTGTTACTTGGCTTTCAGCACTAGGATTTTCAGCACTAGGATTTTGTCTTCATTTTCTCAAGTTCTTGATTGTTCCCACTCAGTTCATAATCTCACTGAGCTTCAGACCTGACAGCAGTCTCTCTTTAGTTGTTGGTAGAAGCAGAAGAAGGAACCTGTGACAGTGAGGTTTACTGTCTTTTCTCCCTACTTCCAGCACACAGGCTAAAGGGATCTGCCAGCCACTTGAACTCCCCAGTGCCTGCACATCAAAAGGAAGCAGATACTAGTATTCCTGTTCCCCTTTTGAGGTTATTTCACTATCTTAAGTATTTATAGATTGATCTGAGCATTAACAGTTGGATGCTACTGGAGTTATTCCCACTCTTCCCTTACTCCTGTAAGAAAATAAATATTGAAGTAGTAGCATATAACGTACAGGAGATTAAGTGGTGTGTGTTATATTAACTGCAAACAAGCCATGGACCTAAACCAAAGGCTACTGAAATGCATAAGAGGCTTCAGATGTTGCACTGAACTTGAATTAACATTTGACTAAATGGGTGCTTTAGCTTCTGAGTGGTCCGACTGGAAGTAACAGTATATTTCACATTATATGCACCTTCAAATAAATGAGTGGCTGATCTCTGAATCAGACTTATTGCCATAAGTTTCCCAATACTGCCACCTGCAGAACAGGCCAATTACAGCTCCCAACAGAGAACTGTTAAGAGGTTGAGCACAGACAACACCGGATATGATTTGAAGTTGCCATGTGCACGCCTGGACAGATAAACCTGAAATCCTACCTCAAAATCCTAAAAATTTCTGAAACACTTCTAAGGATGGCTCTTTATGTTAAAAACCCACTTCTGGAAGGCTGCAGAAAAACCACAGTAACTTGCTGTTTCAGATTAAATAATTTGCACAATAAAATCCTCACATATCTGGAAGATCAGCAGTGGCAAGAACCAGTCACTGATTTCTTTTAGAGATGCATGGAATGCTGTCAGGCTTCGAAAACTGCCTGCCTGATTCAGTAGCTGTCACAATGAGAGTTCTGAAGTGAAACATTTAGGGCTTTGGACAAGAAGACAAAAAGAGCTAATTTAATCATGGAGGATGTGCAGGAAATTAAGACAACAATTCTATTCAGAATTAGAGATTCAGGATTAAAATTGAAGGAAAACAAGCACAGTGAGTTCCACTTGTATTGCCAGTCTTTCATCTTTTGAAAATTTATCTAGGGCCAAAGGGTGACAGAGTAAAAAGTGAATGCCTCAACACTTTTCCTACTTCTCCAAAAAGAAGAAATTGTTCAGATGTCTGCCATTTATTTGATCTGAAATTAGAAACCTGAGCAGAAGAGTGGGAAAAAGCAGCTTGATAAATGCTACAATGATTTCACTAGCTCTGCTAGATTAAGAAACAAACACACACTGATGCAATCACTGTAAGAAATATAGTCAGAACTCAAAGGCACTTTCAGGTAGCTTCAGTATTGCCTATGCAGTAGTTTACAGGCAGTTACAAAAGGTACCCAAGGCAACAGCTTAAACAGCAACACCACCTGCAGAACAAAAGCACAGTCCCACAGGCATGGCACACAGCTGGCTGGACTCCATTCTTTCTACTACATCTGATGGTTGCTGCTCCTTCCAGCCCCCTGTGATCCTGCCACAAGCAGTTCCCCCTCTGGGACCTTGTTGCTAGGCAGCCTGAGTCATAAGGAAGGTAGAAAGATGGCTCCAGGCCTCTGCTAGTGCAGGAGGCTGTAGCAGAAATGCCATGGAAGGCCTTCATCCGTGTTTTGTCAGTTTGAGAAAGATGCTGTTGAAGAAAAGTCATATGCAACAGTCTACCTTAGCAGATGCTTTCAACTTTCCAAAACTGAAAGAGGCTGATGTTTAGAATTGAAGTACTCTGATCTTTTAAGCTTCAGAATCTGAATTTACTTTGATAATGCTTTAATTAAGAGTAGCAGTGAAATGCAACTCAAAACACTTTCAGACTACATGTGACTTTAGTCAAAAAAGCCTGAAAGCCAGGGGCAGTTTACAGGGAACATATAGCTGCAGCTACCTACAGAACATATGAAGTTACCAAGCACCACAGAACAGAAATCTACACCGCTGACAGGCCCCAGCTAGGACAGTATTTTCCTTGGTTGAAGGACACTTCATTCTTTCTTATGGTTATCTGAACTTTGGGCAAGAAGGTGCAGATGAATATGTAAAAAGCTTTCATTTAAGAGGGTCAGAGTGTTGAGGTTAATGAGTGTTTTACCTTAAGTCTTTTCTCCCTATCACTTTTTTCCTACTCATCCAACCTGAAATTTCTCCCTACAACTCAAAATTCAATTACTGTTGCTTCCCAACTCTGCACACTCCCATTTTCCAGTCATTTTGGAAGAAACACATAATGTAACCTCTTCCAAGGCTCTCCTTAGCACAGTAACAAGTTAATAAACCCACACAGAAGCTGTATGGGTTGTGCTAGCAGACAGATTACTTTTTGCAACAGGTAGGAAAAAACTGTTCTAGAACTGCCTCCTACCAGAGGATGAAACAGGGTATCAGCTAAATGGGCACTGCTGCTTCTATACAAGCAGATT